TATTATTTGATTCAGTGTTGAACATGAATTAAATTTGTACCTAGATTAACATTAAATTGGATAAATAGAAAAAATATGCAATTTCATTAACATCCGATCCCTAATATTATAATATATACTAAAAAAATTATTAGAGAAATTTTTAGGCAACATTATTTTGTATCTTGTTAGTTATTTTTACATACTATTTGTATATATATATATATATTTATAGATGCTACATAATATTTACATACTATTTTCATCAGACCGATATTTTGTGATAAAAGTTCTTAATGGATCTGAAATTTTTTTAATTATTAGTTCCAAATATGCTTAAAAAGTGTTTATTGTTAATTTTTATATGATACATTTTATATTTACACAGTAATAAATAACAAACATGAATAGTAAATGATTTGCAATTTAAGCGTGTAATTATGATCATAAAAATAACTTACCAACGCATGTATTAACGTCTAATATAACATATACATAAGATATTATTCACTGCTGCATTACCTTATAAATACCATCAACAAATAATATTATGAATGGTTAAGACTAAAAAGGAAGGAAGATGAATGAATTGTGGTGCTTGTAATATTTTTACGATGAAGTTTAATCTTTTAATAGTAATAGGGAACGATGTACATAATATATATATTCTGTATTTTACAATGCGTTATACTACGTAGATATACATAACTATGCATTAAAATTTACTAGGCAGTAAGCACAGCCAACTATTTTTACAACTACCTTCGAACTACATAATTTCCCCTTTCAAGATCGATAGATTTTCTGATCGTTATATTTATAGTAGAATAGCTAAAAATAATGATAGAATAAATTATTATTATTATTAGGCACTAAAAAATACAACTACAGGTATGAATTTAAATTTTTAATTTGAGTTGTTATTTATTAAACAACATTTTAATTTGCGTCAAAAACTTATTGTTAATTTTTTCAAATTTAGTATCGAAAAATGATTCAGCTATACTAGCAAGATATGAAACTATTCTGTTAGAACTAAAACAATACTTTTATACTTTGGACCCATGTCAAACAATGCCAGAATATTTTTAGCTGTTAAATCATTCCCTCGTGATTCGGTCTTCGATTTACTAATTTGTGGTAAAATGCAACTGTCAAAGATGGAAGTTAAGTTCATCATGATTGGTAGTCTTATTCTCCTAGTATGAATAGAGAAAACTGTTTACATTGTATGATKTATAGTAAAAAGTTAACTGTATTCTTTGTTTAATGTTATTTAATGTTATTCCCAATAACATAAGGCATTAATTGGTAAATACTAAATGGACTTAATTTTTAAATAAAAYTATGTAAATGAATACCTAAGTGATGGACAACTATATTAGTACTATAATCACTATTTTTAGTTTGTTTGTGTTTTAAAATAATATATATGAAAAATCAAGTCAAACATGTAATTATTATTTTGTGATCGTGACAGCTATAAATAAGCGTGTCGCGTGTGGGTATATYATCGCCCCCAMGGGTCTATTTGGGGGAAAATGGTGGTGGTTACTACCAATCACAGATTTTATCGTTATGCATAATCATCAATTTGAAATTGACATCGGCGCCACTGAGAATAATGCAATTTATCATATGTGCTTGATGTAAGTAGGATTATCATTATTTCCCTTTTCTCCGATGCAGAAATAAATATAATGTTCTATTCAAATATTCAAATATAATAATATACYTATGTTATARCCAATTGCTATGAAKTTACATTGTAATAATCTAGATATCGCTCAACGTGTTGGTGTTGTCACTAATACGCCATATTTGATTTCATGATGCATATGTACGTATTTGTATTTGTAAGATTTATTGTAATAAATGTATAAGCACAGTATACATTACAAAATATTTAAATTTAATAATATGAATAACTAGTTATGTATACTTACTTAAACTTAATGTTTGTATTACTTCATCAAAATTGTTCACCTCCTCAAAATGACGAACTGCAAAAAAGTTTCGTGTATTATTCGTAAATCACAACACTATCAACTACACGTAATTTTTGTACCGAGTACTTAATTACAACACAAGAATAGAAAATAATATTTCATTTATTAATTTAGCCTGATGCAATGAAGTATGATGCTCAATTTTCAGTGATGAACAGATCACTTAAACAATTCACTTTATAAGTAGTT